GTCATAAAGGCTTAGTCATGTCTCTTGACCAAGCAATGAGCTGGTGCCCTGACAGGTATGCACAAGAGAGGGCACAGGTGGTTTCAAGCCATATGAGAAGAAGTACCCCAACTGAAAGCAAAAGATACTGAGCAAAAGGGTGTGTGCAGCCTGGCCATTGGCCCCCCAAAAAATTTCTTACCTCTTGCCTAGACTGGATGCAAGTGCCAATTCATCATGAAAACATATCCCGGCACACCAATGGTCCTCAGACATTACCATCCAACACATTTGTGTCCTACTGGTGACAAGAACACTTGGTTTGTCCATATGCCACCCCAAATGCAATCATATATCAAAGACATGCTGCACTTACATGTGGAGCCCTGCAAGATTCTTTGGAAAGTCCATGCTGATGCATGTCAGCCTGGCAAGACAAATTCCTGTGAACACAACCACTTAATCACTATGCAAGACATCAAGCAGGTACAGGTGAGTGCAGCCTGCCCCCATCTGAGACAATGCTAAGTGCAGCCTGGATATCAGCTTGCTGTGCATGCAGAAGCTGTCTGATTGGCCACAAGCAATGACAAATCCACTGAGCTGTGGGTCAACAGGCTGCATAAAGAAAAATTGCTTCTCTTTGCCAAGCTTGTTAACCAGGCTGTGCCAAAGACCTTGTACCTTGATCCAACAATGATGTTCATTGCAATACAAACACCCTGGCAGAGGGACATCTTCTTGAACTTCAGCACACACATCATGTGCATTGACAACATGCACAATGTAATGCAATATCATAAGGTTACACTCTTTTTGCTGCTATGTTGGGATGAGTGGGGCCATGGTATGTGCAGTCTCTGCAGCAGGCTGTGTGCAACCTGACCCTTTGCAGGGATCCCAGTGGCCTGGCTGATTACCTCAAATGGGGAGACTCTCACACTTCAGTTCTGGCTTTATCTCTTCAAGGAATCCAACCCAATGACTCCTCAGTACCTAATGACTGATAAGAATCAAGCACAGATCTCTGCATTATGCTGATCCAACCCAAGAGGTGTCCAAAATATTGGTCAACCCATACCAAGAGCAGAGGAAAGAGAAGTGAGAATGCAGCCTGTCAATATACAACAAGCACAACAATGAGTGCAGCCTGTAGCACCACACCAACAACCACAACAACAACCACAACAACAGTGACAACTACCCACACCTCTGGCCACACAACCACCCATACCGGCACAGGCTGCACCCCTGCCTGCCCTGCCCATATATCCTGTATGACCTACATGACCACCTGCTTGGCCAACCATGCTACTACCACGACCAGTCCCGGCCCGGTCCAGCGCCCACTAGTTGATCAATTCTTCGCTCAAGCTCAGCTACTATCCCAGCGGCTACGACAGCCAGGCTGCACTGTAACCGAACACTCCACTGGGCTCGTAGAGATGATTGCCATGATGGACCGGGCTTTGGTGCAGCCTGTCCCACAGGCTATGGCCTTACCTCCGGCAGTGAAGCTGCCACCTAGGCTGACAAGTGCTTCAGAGACTGCAAAGACCCTAGCACACCGGAAACGGCATCGGCGCAGCCTTATGCAGGAAGATCAAGAAAGAAAGGGAAGACGGATGCACAACAATAAAATTGAGTTAAACTTTAACTTGGTGCAGCCTTACAGGCTGTGCTTATCCATTCCTATCTGTGATTCCAACCTGTCCAGGCTGCACTACGCCATCACCTCATCCTCACCGCCCTCCTCGACGTCTGGTCCCTCGTCCTGCTCTTCTTCCTCACGTACATTGTCGTGTGAGTGCCCAACCTTGAGGAACTCGGTGACAATCCAGGAGCGGTGGCCTTTCCAGAAACTGGTGTTGCACGTTGAGCCCTGGATTGTCATCAAGTACTTGCCATACATGGCCTGCTGGAGGTTGTAGGAATGAACGGGCTTGTACATGTTCTACAAAAACGTTAGTCAGGCTGCGCATTACCCAGTTTCTCACGTACATTGTCGGCGAAGATGTCCATCATGGTGGCCACGGGAACACCAAGGAGGGCGGTCGAGGCGGTGTTGAAGGCAGTTGCCCACTTGTGATCATTGCCGGAGACAATCTGGAAACAGATGCAGTACCTACAGGTTGCGCTGGTCAGCGCGCAGCCTGCAGAGAAAGATAAAGAAGAGAGAGAAGGAGAAGAGAAAGAGAGAAAGGTAGAAGCGCAGCCTGAAGAGAATAAAGCGCCTAACAACTTACTTGGGCATTGGCATCATGAAGGACTGCTTGCATGTGGGGCACAAGTAGTGCATGTTCGTGCCAATGTCGCTGTCGTGCACCTTCCGGTTACAGTGGGGCATGGCACAGCCTAAGTACGTGACTGAATTCGCCTTGTCGATGACGATGGTCCCCTCAATGCAGAAGGTTTGGGCACGGGGCTGGGCGTTGAGCCCCTCGGCGTACACCTTGGCGATGGTGTACATCTTGATGGAGGCATTGAGGCCGGTGCTGATCAGGCTGTGCACACCGTCCATGCTCGCAATTGTGCTGAGTAGGTGCCAGGATTGTCTCGGGCGATCTCCCACCTGTGTAAGCTGTTAGCCAGGCTGTGCTGCACAGCCTGAAGAAACAGCTTACCAACTCTCCAGCTCAGGGTACCCGGGGACCTCTTCATGCCACAGGATGAGGGTGTGGCGAGGGTCGGTCTTGATGGAGAAGTCGCCATGGGAGATATCGATCATCACGTTCTTGAAAAGGGCAATACGCCCATTGCTTCGTTCGAGCATCGGCCAGAAGTTATTGAAGGCGACCAGACAGATAGCGCGGTTTGTGTTGTTGACCATGAACATATCGATACGGGTGGTAGGTGCACCCTGGGCATAGTTCTGCCACGAGTCAGGCTGCACGTTACCGAGCCGGGGGGAGAAAAGGAACTCACAAAGCTAGGCTGCACCTTCGCCTTACCATGCATGACATTGCTGGTATTGGCAATAACACAGGCAAGGTTGAGCGGCTTGCAGTCAGGAATTGAGGGGAGCTGGATGATTTTCTTCATGTTGAAGTGAAGACGTGGGATAGAGTTGTCGGGCACAGCCTGGAGACACGTTAGGCAGCGCACAGCCTGGGCAAGCAAATGGAACCCACGGGAACGATTGAGGCATTATACTCGCTGTAGTCGAGCTGGGCAGGGTGGAAGGACCGGCAATAGATCTGCATGGATGAGATTGAGTTCATGTTGTAGAACTCAAACACCTGCCTGACCTGCACCACACCCTCAGCATGGTGCATGACCTTCCGGCGGATGATCATGTCGATCTCGCCCGTCACGTCGTGCAAGACAAGGTCGATCTTCTTGCCCTCAGAGACATCCATGTGAGTGACACAGCCACGGATGTTCAGGCTGCATGCAACCTATCAGCGTGCTACCTACCAACAAAAAAGAAGACTTACCCTTGGCCGAAAGCCGTGACCTGGCTTATCAGCATGAACGACGGGATGGGTCCCCAGCCTCCCGGTTGGAATAGCTGCGGGGCAGGCTGTGCCAATGTCCCCAGCATCATGGTCAGGTTGGTGGCATAGTGCTGGATGGTTGCATTGTCCATATCCTCATCCGAGCGAAGCTCGCGATCCACCGTAGCTTCGACAATGGGAGGGGGACGATCAGCAAGAGGGGGGGAGCACGCGACAAGGTTCTGGGGGATGTTGCTGACACCGATCAGGTGGACGTAGTTCTCCTGGGCCAGTGCAGGAGCAGCAATGGGAGGTGCAGCCTGCCCAGCTGACTCCTGTGACCCTGCCAGGGTGATCGGCATAGGCTGGGCCAATGCCTGCAAGCCCATGGTCAATCCGAGGTTGGAGGGGGGAGCTGAGCTTTGTGAGCTCCCCATGCGAGAGCCAGAGGTGGAGTCAGGCTGCGCCAGCGCTTGGATTGCGCCGATCGACCGTTGATACCTGCAGGAGGGGCAGTTCACATCATCCCAGTTGGGGAACAGGATGGGTTCGCCGATGACGGAGTCAGTCGAGGCAAGAACGGCCATGTCGTACATGATAGGGGACACCCTACAGAATCATCAGTGGTACGTCCAGGCTGTGCTGACACTCACATACCAGACCGAATCCTCCACCCACACTTTGACATGGTGGATCTCGATGATGTCAAACACCTTGAACTCGCCCGCGCGCAGCCTGGGAAGGGCCGGCCACACCTTTTGTGATGACGCTCACACCATCGCTGTAGGAGAGGCTGTACTACGCGTTAGCGCAGCCTATGAGAAGGAAGAGGGAGGAATCACTAGAAAAGGGGGGGTTCCAGCAGCTCGCCCTCGTCATTAGTCTCCTCATACAGCTCGGTGAGCTGGACGATGACGCAGGCCACACCGCCGAGATTGCGGAACATGATGTCGGAGATGACGCAAGCAGTTAGTTCAGGGACGGCAGCCATGGTTTAAAGCAGAGAGATCGGGTGTAATGAATACAAGTCAGCAGAGCAGGTGGAGGCGCGCAGCCTGAGTGCCGGTCCGATGGAAGCAAATCGCACGCGGGGCTTTTTACCTCCGAGAGGTATGCGGAAACGACGCAAGTGAGAGAGCGCCATGAGATGCTCTACTAAAGTCGATGTGTTTTTCAATACCCTCAACAAAGATAATAACAGCCCTGACTAGCGCAGACCACATACTCAGTCGACCTGTGACCATGACTCATGCATGGGGCAGAACCGACAAACTCAGCTTGGAACACTATCGGCGAGCGCTGGTATACGACCGTCTGTCCTCGACTGCACAGGCTTCATAGAGAAGCTCTCCTGCCCATCTCCGAACGCAGATCCCTGTTCCTCATCTTCGATTGTGTCCTGGTGTTCCGACTCGAAGTGCCGATGAACCGAAATGTGCATGCTACGGGGTTGTCTGCTAGGTGTGAGCTCCGTGCGGAATGTCGCCTGGAACGACTTCGTGGAGCCACTACCGAGCTTCAGCCCGACGCGGACGATAATGAGAGAAAACGTTATCCCAATGATTGGAGACATCTGAATCTCGCATGAGAACACCATTGATGACGCACGAATAATACTCACGAGCTGAAGGACTACGTAGAATCCCGGATTGACCAGAGCCGTGCAGGTCACGTTAACCAAAGTGAGCGACGTATAGAGTAGACCAGACTCGACAACAATGCCTACGACAGGCAGAAGGCTGCTTCCCTTGAACTTAGCCGCAGCTCGGTCAACTTTCCAGATACGGAAGGCCACGAGACTGGTAGCAGTCAGCACTTGGGCCAGCGTAGTGGATTCGAGCACCAAGGACCACGTCGTGGTGAGGGGAAGCCATGACAGGTTGGTCGGTTCCATCGCCCAAGAGAATCGTATCTGGATTAGCCGAATTGTGCTGGCTAGGCAAACTTCAGCATGGTCGGCCTAGATCCGGTAATTAGAGCTGACCGAATGTAACAAGCCAGACGCAAGTGTTGAACAGAATAAACTGCCATCGCCGTTCCCATGCTGCCCACACGCGGTAGATCTGAATCGAGCATGCGTCATTCTAACTATCTGTGCAGGGAGAAAACTCACCATAACTGCATCTCCAGTCAACATGTTCATCAGTCGAACGGTAACCTGGAAGCAGAATTTCCAGTCGCCACTACTGTTGAAGTAGGCATCCCGCACAGAGGGGTCGGTATAGATGAGACCGACGAGGAGACGATGGCATTCAAGAAGCACATCTGTAGATGTACAAATAAAGATGATAACGGCCGCCGCGACCAGCACGCGATTCGTCTGATTTTGCAAATGACGCCACCACATGATATGAACTGAGATAACAAAGAGAGACAGGTAGATGCCTGAAGTCGCTGCCGTCAGAACACATCTCCTGGGCGTGACACAGGTTCTCACCCCAAAAACATAGAGCAGTCAGCCCGCCAATCAACGCGTTTTCGGCACCGTTTCGAGTCAGTCCTGTAGCACTTGATGTACCTGACATACCGCAAAGACCGTAGAGATGGCAGGCTGGAGACCATGGCAAAGAAATATTCTTATACTGCACGGTGTTGACAGGTTGAGAGGGTCTAGAGAGGCTTTATCTTGGATTCCAATTGTCGTAGTGAATAGAGTGACCCTCCTGGATGTTCTGTATTCACTGTGAGACACAAAGGAACGCTAGAACTAAGGGACTTTGCCGCCGTAAGGGCAAAGACCGGGCCCTCGATCATTGTACCGGAGGGAGGGACCCTTGTGAAAGGGGTTTCTTTGCTGCGTTGCGCCATCAAAGAACGCTCAACGAGATATAGACAGCAATTCTCGTACGAGATTTTCACAGAGATGCCTGTAAATGCCAAATTCGCCAAGTCCGTCCATCAACCACCAGTATCTTGACCTATGACATCCACCAAGGAATGACCTAGTGTCGTCTCATGTCATTGCGGATGAGTGGCACGCCACATCATCGATATTCCGATATTCCTTGTGGGGTTTGTGGCTGTCCTCAGGTCTACCCCTAGAACCGTTATCAGGAATAGTATGTATTCGAGTGAAAAGTGACGTACTTCAAACGATACAATCTCATTTTGGCGAATATGCCATGAAACGATAATTGACGTTGGACACTCGGAGTGTCTGTGTGTCCGAAGGCAACCCGGTTGGAAACCTCGATTGCTTAAAAGCGTCTGCATCGAAATTTGTAAGGCAAAACTAAGCATTATACAAGGTTGCAGATGCCGGCGTGGTTTGTGGTGGGCCACCAAGATTTAGAGCTCCGGATAGGTTTGAACAGAGTTGTCCTCTGCCGCGCCTCCGTAGACACGGGACTATTTGGTTGCTTCGTGGACGGAAGCACCTTCGCGGGACTATATTACGTTATGGTCTCCTGACGTCTACGATAGACCTTTGCGATAAGGAGCAGCTGCAATGCATTCCACATTGATTCTGTTGCTGGTTAAGAAGCTAGGAATATTCCGGCTTGGACACGCTGTAGCAACCGTTCTCACGGAGGAAAGGGTGAAAAGGGCCGTGTCAACCTGGAGCCCTGGACACTCAAGGGACTTTCCCAGAGACATTCTTGATGACACCGGCAGATCCGGACTCCGGACTCGGGCCGGACCCTGAGCTTCCAACCGGTGGCGTTCTCGGTCTGAAGAATTATACTCTGGCGCCGGATCTGTTAGACCTCTAGATAGGGCTTGACTAAGATCGCTGACTTCGGTCACTCTATCAATGTCTCCAGGCGGTCATTGCGAAGACAGGGTAGGAACTCCTACATTTACCCCACCATCAACATATCGAAATACTAGGTGCGGCAGGCAAGACTCTCATACGTCTACGTTTAGGAGATGTGCCTAAATGCGATCGTGGAGAAGCAACATGAGCTCTGTATCTGAGGAGTTCATAGTATGGCGCCTTATCTGAACTATAGCATCGCGATGTCTGTCATAGGATGAAGAAAGGCTATACCCGCCCAATCGCTTGTTCGAGCCTTCCATGGCTGTTTACAGAGCAGCTCCTATGTACGTTCTTCAGCGGCTCAACTCGTAGGATATCCTTGACTCGTCGAACGGACTCCTGAGAGAGAAGAGGGAGACAAAAACGAGCTTCAACAGTGGATACGCGCGACGGATAATGGTAACAATTTCGGATGGGATCCTGGCCTAGCTTGATTGGACGTGTTGGTACTAAGAGTCGGTGCGTAGGTCCTGATATGTAATCCACAACGTGCTAACACCCTCCTCCTGTTGTACTATTTAAAAAAACATGTAGTCACATGAGATGTAGACGTACTGGTATGTATATGATCAGTGCTTCGACTGCAACCTCGTCTCTCTGCACTCTGTCTGAGCTTTAGCGTCGCTCCGATGTGATGCTCGGCTTCCTCCTCACGCCCATCCTCGTTCGGCCTGATGAGATGGCGGTAAGATTTGAAGAGCATGATGGAGAAAGTGCAAAGGAGCTGCCGCGAGGTGCATTTGGGGACATCGCGCATGCGCATGCGCTGATCCATCATTAATGACGAATGAGTTGGCAGGTTGGTCTTGGTCACTACCACCACGCGGAGAATGTTCGTTTCCGTATGAGATCTGCCAGGACAGCTCGTTAGTATGTGTCGCGCTTCCCCGGCAACAGCAACATTGAACATACAAAGGACCGGGACGATGTAGCAGGGACGACATATGCATGCCGCCTGTTGGTCGAGTCTAACAGGACGAACGCGCGGTCGATTGTAGTTTGCCCAGTTGTGCCACTAATTAGAAGGGAGGCAATACCCAGCAATGCGCGACGTCAGAGGCTGGACAACTACAATCATCGAGAGTCACTGACAACAGACTCATGCTCCCATTACATAAAGCCCCATTGGCCCCCTACAGTGGCTTTACAGGTTTCCACAGATTGGCAGACCCACGCGTTTGGTGGTTCTTCGACCTATCATTAGTTAAGAACTTAACACTTAATATATACAATCAATGTCGCCTGTATATTTCGCTTCTAATCATCTGGTGATTACAATGGCTGAAATAAGAGAGGACGAGTCTTATTCGCGCTATGGACTGACTCATCCATTACATATTTACACCTTCCGGCCAGCCTTTTGCTACAGCGTGGAGGCCTTTCCTGACTTGGAAGGGAGACCTACAGAGGAGCATGCATTTCATCATCAGCAGGTAGAAAATGCGCTTCGGCAAAGGTCTTCAAGAAAAGTTGAATTACACTACGACTCAGACGGCCATTCATACCAGCCGACGCTTGACTGGACCATGCATCAAAACGAGGACCAACGACTTCTGGAGCATTTCCCTCTCGATGTACCTCTCTTATAGTATGGGGTGTCCAGGAACTTGCCATCCTAGTCATGCTGCTGCTCCCCCTCGGGCGAGTTTTCCACACTCTCTGTCGGCACTGGTACCGACTTGCTTCCTGCGCCTGGTGGGTGATGTGCCGTTGCACGCTGGAGCGTCCTCTTCAGCGTATATTTCTTCATCAACAGAGCTATTCCTCATCAGTCCCTGCAGGAACGGATGAAGGGGAGGAACTCACATAAGAGCAGTGCGACGAAGACAATAGGCGTACACACGATCCATATCGTACTGACACTCCTGGTGAACCCGTATAACACCTGGTCTCTGAGAGCTTCAGGCTGGATGAGACTCAATGCCCGGACGTCGCTCGTGAGCTGACTCTGGGGTGGCGGTGTCCAGCCAGGAATGGAGGAAGCACGTCGAGAGACTTCAGATTGGTAAATCGCGCCGCCTATTGAGATACCTATCGTGCCACCTAGCGTACGGAGAAGACCAAAAGTAGCCGTACTGGTCGCCATGTCTTTTATTGGCATCGCCGCTTGGAGACCGATGAGGGGGGGCTGGAAGATACATCCTACGCCGATGGCGGCCACGAGGAGAAAGATCTCCTGGCGTGCACTGAGGGCGAGGGTTAGCATTGCGGATGCAAGGAAGGGAGGGGACGTACACTGAGGAGTAGTTATCGAGCATGATCATCAGACCCATTCCTAGTGTCATCACTGTTAATCCGACCCACATCACCCATCTGTAATCCCCCGACTTGGAGACTACGAGGCCCGAAACGATGGCCATGAGGGCGGAACCGAGGGAGTACGTCATCATCTTCACCCCTGAGAGGATGGCGGAGGCGCCCATGATCTGGAAGTAAAGTGGGATGTAGTATGAGGCGCAGAGGAAGGTGATCCCGTGTAGGAAGGTGACGAGGAGGATTGCAGTCGTAGTGCGGGTCTTGAACAGGCGAGGTGGGATGATGGCGCTCCTCTTGGTTAGGAGCTCGTTGATGCATGAGGCTACAAAAAGGACGACACCCATGACGAGAAGGGCAATAGTTTGAGGTGTGGACCAGGAGGTACCCCCGAATGAGAAGCCAAGGAGAAGGCAGACGATGCTGCACATTATCAGCGCGAGGCCGGTCCAGTCGAACGTCGCCGCTATTTCTCGGGCAGTCTTGCGCGGTGTCGGGTTTAAGTGCAGGAAGAAGAACAGGAGAGCGCCAGCGAAGCCGCCTGTGGGAAGGTTGACGAAGAAGCACCAACGCCAGGTCACTTTGTCTGTAAAGACTCCTCCGAGGAGGGGTCCAACGACAGAGGCAATACCCCATGTTGCGCCTATGAAGCCGGAGTACTTGCCCCGCTCTTCGAGGGATGTGATGTCGCTGATGGTGATCTGTACAAGCTGCATTATGCCCCCTCCCCCGATGCCTTGCAGACCACGACAAGCAGCGAGCCAGATGAAGTTCTGCGCGGCCCCGCACAATGCCGAGCCAAGGAGGAAGACGACGATGCTGAAGTAGAGAGTAGGTTTGCGGCCTATGAGATCCTGCACAAGAGGGTGAGCATGGAAAAGCCCTTGTTTTCTGTTGGGGACGTACAGCTAGCTTGCCATACAAGGGAGCTACGCATGTCGCGGTGAGGAGGTACGCGGTGCCCACCCACTCATACTGGTCTGCACCCCCCAGCTCGGAGACGATTGTAGGCAGCGCGGTGGCGACGATCGTCTGGTCGAGAGCCGCAAGAAAGACGGAGAGCATGAGACCGGGGAAGACGAGGAGCATGTTACTGCATCATGTTTAGGCTGCTGTGCCCAGAGAGGGGAGAAGTAGACGCACTTGTGGGGGATCTCGTGTACCTCCTGATTCTTCCAATGCTCACCAGGCTGGGGTTTTTCCCCTGTTTGGTGCGCATCGTTCCCGTGTTCCGGTGTAGGAGGAAGTGCAGATGGAGAGGCTTTCTCAAGGTCGGTCGGGGCATCCTCTGGTGTAGGATCAAGCCTTGAATCGACGGGTGTGATTGTAGACGACATGTTTGGTGGGTAGAAGTGAACAGCTGTGGTTGGGGTTATATGTACCCCTGGAGATGAGTCGCCAGTGATAGAAATGATGATGGTTAGCAGAAGAGCAGTAAGCAATTATCAGAGAAAAGCATAGGGATGTGGTGACTTGTCAGCAGTCAGGGTTGCTTAAGCGCCCTTCAAAGTCTGCGGACGGAAGGCACATACCGCGTCATCGGCGATCGTATGCCGAAGCGGATGTGTAAACGCCGCTCAACGGCCAACTGCGGCTAACATATATAACACCGCCGCAGAGACAATTTTTGGTTAACTATTCCACAAATACATTCGACTGCCATAAACACTAGAAATACAATACTGTATCCTCCGCAGCATTACGATCCCGGCCTCACCAACTTCTCCGCCGGGATGCTTTTGGGCTCATTTCACGCTCGGATTTGGCAACAATCGAACGAAAACTCGGTGACGGCCGGCTGAGTCCGAAAGTTTGGCGATGCAGAGATACGATCTGACGGGTGCGTTCGTGGACAGCACTACGGTAAAGATAGGTGACAAACGCTCCTGGGTTCCTGAGCGCAAAGCTAGTTTATCCGCTCTCATCTCCGCTTCGCCTTTGCTCCTGAACGACCATCTACTACTAGTAATGATAACGCAAATCAGGAGGATTCTGCTTCTGCTAAACAAGATACATGACGAAGCTGCCCTGAAACGAATCTGACCAACTGACGGCGCCTCTGGCGACGATTTGGGTGGTGTCATCCGGGCCACGCCTGAAGCGGTCTTCCAACTATGAGCAGCAGCCGACAGTCGCAAGTCAACCTACCAGTACATCATGGGATGACGCCGAACGTGCTAATGATGTCTTTCTCTCTCCGAGACCAACAGTGCTCCAAAGGTTAGTGATGTCGACATCGCGGACCGGGAACCTGCCAGCAACCAAGGGGTTAGCACCTTGCTGCAGCTTATATCCTCCGAACACAAAATGTGCGACCTGGATGACTCGAGTGGGCATATTCAAAGCGGTATCGGATGTTTCTTTCTAGCCGATCGATCTCTTGAACATCTGACTAATGAAACGATTTCCGGACCGTCTGACAGCCGACAATATGAACGCCCGGTGTTACCTGTTCTCGTGCCGTCGCCAAAGCAAACAACCTCTAGAGTTTCGTCCTCGCCTATGAATACTTCCTTTGCCCGAGAACGTGCTGACCCTGTTCCAGTGACCACCACCGACCAAGTTACCGTGGCCTAGGGCTCGTCTCACATCGCTGCGTCTTCTAATGGATCGTCAGATACTCTTGCCTTTGACGGAAATTGGGTTGTCACTCGTGTATAAGATGGAGAGCACCGGATTTGCATGCGCGCGACATCAAATCACAGTGCTACCTCAACCTTGACTGTGGACCTAACGTGCGTGCCTTGTTCCCCCATTGGCTTTTTTCATCTCCTAACGGCGAACAGGAATGAACATATATGGCTGAATTCATTCAAGGACGTCTTTGGCTCGTTACTTCATCCTCGATTCTGTGTTTCTCCTTAGAGAATAGGGAAGCATCTGCGATATCCGTGGAGACAGACTCATCTTACCTTGATTCCGTTGCCGTCTTCGTTTTTCGCGCCCATAAAGACCGTGGCTGTCATAAGATTTAGGAAATCTGTCATCCATCCCCTTGCGTCCAGCAAGGTCTTGCTTATCTCCTATGGCGGGATGCGCACGGCTTGTCTGCCTACAGTCTCTCCCAACGCCAAACCAGCTCCGAAAGGTACCGTCTCGATCTTCTTTGGACGGTCCCCATCAACATTAGCCGTCGTAACATCACAGCGATGGCGTTTGACGATCATGCTGAAAACGCGATCTCGCTCGAATATGAGCTGTGCGCCGCGTTCAGCGCTCCGTCTGCTGCAAGAAGCTACATCCCGGATCTCGCTGTCGGCTTTCGAAGCCCTTCAGTCCTTCAACCAGCGGTCTTCATGTGATTTGATGTGACTCCTACTGTACCGTAGATACAATAGATAGTCTAATCGAGCTCTCTTGTGAACCTCCTACGGGTGAGCGTGCTTCCGGATAACGGATGGCAGTATATGCACGATGATGCGTTCGAGTAAGATGTGATATCAAGGAGTGGGGCTAGCTAGAGATGGGATACAGAGTGGTCGAAGGGGAAGAGTCCGGCCTCCCGTTACAGGGGTATATGAGCTATCTAATATAGAAGGTCAAGGAATGTGGAGGTGGTAAAATAGAAGGAACAATGGAAAGTAACTGAAACTAATCAAGTAAGACAGTCCCTCGATATCGGTCCAGCGGTATCCGGATACTGCATGTGAGCCGGTAAAACGGATGTTCCGGCAATGAATATATTGAGTATGCCTATGACGGACTAACTACAATACAACCACGGGGAACTTCAGACAATGACTGTCCTCAGTCACTGTTGGGATTGTAGAATAGCCGTTTGTTGGATGTCAATCATATGCAATCTCGCAAAGGTATGTGAAGATAATGATACTGGTATCTGGTGGCAGTAAGATACCAGTCAGAATTGTGTTGTCGATAATATGGTTGTTGCCATGTGAGCAGCATGATGGCTTGTTCGAAGTGCAACCACACAAGTGAAGCATTGACCTAAGTGCATTGCCAGGAAAAGGTGGTTGTGTGGTTCAGATGCAGCCATCTCCTGCAGGGAACTTCTGAGAAAGGCCATCCGGGCCTTACTGTTGGTGGTACCAGCCACCAGTACTGGCCTTGTTGCCTTGGCCTTGGTAACCGTGGTCTAGGTGGTGGTGGCAGTGCGGGGCTAACTGCACCCTTTAAAAACCATTGCGGAGGCAAATTCTGATCACCTCTGAACTTAACTTTTCACCACCACCTTCCTTTCTTTGCCATGGCTGCTACTTCCAATGCTCTGGAGAACATGATAGAGAAGAATTTAGCAATTCAAGGCCCAAAGATAACTGTGTCTTGGGTACCAGCAGAGAGGGGGGAATATAAGAAGAAGATCACAGACACAATGTCTGTCATCCCAAAGGACTGGAAGGAACAGGGGGTGTGGCTCAAGCAGGCAGATAAGGTTGGCAAAATGAGGGTATGTCATTCTTCATGTGCATATACTTGAGAACTAATGCAGTTTGCATAGGCTGATGTGATGAAATTGTTGCTGGAGGAACTGCAAGCATTCCGTTTGGTCAATGAGGGGCGTGTGCTATTCCTTGGCCTGCATATGCAGATGTTGTGGGAGTTATTGGCACCAGTGATGGGTACAAAGGTACACAGTGTTTGGTATTTCATGCAGTACTGCCACTGATGGTACAGAGTGGAAGAGGTGTCATTTAGGTGCCCCCATTGGCAATGCAAATGAGGATCTCCTGTTGGAGGCATGGACCAAAGAAGACAACAATGCTGGCCCAATGCTGCCAGCAATTGTGGCCTTGGAAGAAGAAGACATTGAGACTGCTGGTGCTCTCCCTGGTGACTTGCAAGAGACCAATCAGCTGGCTGGCAACTCTCAGAAGCAAGTCGCACTGGTTGCCAAGCTGCTCATTGTTGGAACACTCCCTTGGGGCAGTATTCTGGTGTCAGTACTTACGCCTGCAAGCACAGAAGTCAGGCCATCTGCAACAATTACTGAGATGGAAGAAGAGGTTGTGGTGCATGCAAGGGGGTGGAAATGGATGCAGAGCAAGAAGAGGTGAAGGAGGCAGAGGCATTAGAGAAGGCAGTGACAGCAGATGTCACTGAGAAGAAGGAGGTATGTCCCCCTGCAGTACTTTCCATTATACTGGAGTTGACTTGTTGTTGTAGGATAAGCCGAAACATCCCAAGCTGTGCCAGGCTTATCAGAAGACTGCAACAGCATCACCTCCATCCAATGCCAATGAGGTGGAGTTTGTGGATGGCATGCCTTCTGGGAAGGCAATGGATAAGTTGGCAGCTTTTGTGCCTGCAAGTGCAGTGTACCCTGGTTCCCTAATGCTTTGCATCCTGAGAGCTAACAAGAGGTTGTATTATAGAAGGTGTGTCCTTCCTGCAGTAGGGGGAACATGTTGGAGTCTGACATGGTAGAAGTTGTTGTACCTCAGAGGGTCATGGTGGTAAGTTCTGTTGGTATTCAGATAATGGCAGTACTAATATTTTTCCCAGAAACCCATCACTCCCATGATGTCAGGGCACCAGCTCATTGCTTGGTCAAGAGACATGACTAAGCCTTTATGACAT